TTTGAGGACTTGAGGAACCTCTGCTAAAACCAGTGCATTGGTGGTCAGTGAGAAATATGACCCTTTGCATTGGTGGTCGGTTGGAGGTATGCCCCCCCTTACAGTGGTGCTCAGATTGCCATCCTTAAGACAGTCATCGATGTCTTGCAGTTGGCTCTATCAAGTGGTATTGACCTTGAAACTATGCAGGAACCATAAGATAGGAGGTCAACCAGCCATTGCTCAAGGAACTCTTGGCAACCTCTGGAGGAACGCTAGAGTTCCATGGAACCCTTGTTGAGAATGGCTGCTACATTATTTCCTGATTGCAGTTCTTATTTTGTATCCTAAAGCGAGAAACTTCATCACTGTCTTCACCCCCCCCTCCCTATGCTTTCTAGATTAGCTTGAAGATTCCATTGAAGTTTGTTTGGCAAAGCTATTAACTGGAAGAAAGTTAAAGAGGGGTGGCAAGAGGCCTATTACATAATCCCAAATGTAATTTTAATTGTTTTGGCCTACAAGATGGCTGCCTCCACTGTGTCTAGGGAGCAGAAACATATTATCTTATTAACTATGAGTGCAACTGATCAAAACAATGTTATCCTACCAACACATTGCATATCCATCAATCCGTACCCCACTGGAATAACTCAACTGTGCTACCAAATGAGCTTTAGTGAGTAGAAAAATAAAAGCTTTGTGTAGAATAGAGTTAGATCACCTTTGGCCTAATAACGATTATCTCACATCACGGTACTTTTTCCCCAAAGGATCTGTACCATCTCAGCATTGAAGGAGACCACACAAACATCAGGTTACAACCAACATAAAAAGGAGGCATGAGAATAAATGACTTCTGTCCACCCAGCCAATACACAACCAAAGCCAATGACAACATAGGCACCACTTTAACCACCATAAAAAGAAAACAAGATCCATAAAACTCACACTCTGCCAGGACAAAATGGTTTTGCGAAGTTTCCAGCGGACAGACAAAGACACAACTAAGCTTTGTGAATAGACCTGTTTATGGATGACCACAAAACCTCACTGTGCAACATAAACTGCATCACTAAGAATTGTGGAAAACAACTGGCAAATCAGAGACGACGGCTAAAGCACACAAATACCTGACGGAAAAAATTACAGTATGCACTGAGTACATGAGCACAAAAGGCTAAAGCGTAAAAATAAAAGAAAGAATCTGATTAGCAAAAAAACAAGTCTGAAACTGGGCTGACTCCACACATGATGGAGCGCACATTACAAAAGGATACAAAAGGAACAAACGTCACACCACAGAACTACAATGGACACCCGCATTTTACATTTACCCGGTTGGAGAATTGCCTATGTGTAGTTCGAGCATAAAATTCCTGGGTATCTGTCAGATATTGGCACAATCTCATTGGGCCAAGCCTCAGAGGAGATGGCAGTTAGACAACTGAGACAAACTGACAGATGTGTGGCATATCTATTCGAGACTGTGTAGATGGGCTTTTGTTCATATCATGTCTCTCCCCATACAAGTCAATAGGAATGCAAACATAGGTTGATGCAATTTGAAGGAGTTCAGCTTGCAGGTCACAAGGTGGTCAACTGCTCCTGCCAACAAATTTTGATTGATCTCAAATGCAGGCTGAATGCACCTAAAAGCACATTTCATTTGCCCACTGGCACAGTCCACAGCCCATTGACACAGGCCCTTAATTTGGTTGGATTGCTGTGACACACAAAAGAAAATGTCATCTCCTGGGATTTGTCATTTGTGGCTGTTAAAACCACTCTGTCCAATCAAAGGCAACCAATTCACTGCAAAATTGCCAAATTAGATGTTGGCAAAATTGCACCATATCAGAAGTTCTTCATTTTGTGCATTAAAAGGGTATGGGGTTTTTCTTTATATATTTAAAATGGAACTTCACTCTCTCAATCAGCACTGGCTATTTGTAATCCTCATGCTGCTAGCCTTAGTAAATAGATAGGAAAGTATATAATATTTACTTCTTTTAAACTTTTTATCACATTACTTCAGTTACTTCCTGGTTTCCATGCCTAGTCAAATGATGTCATACTTCCCAGGAGTCTTCAGGAGAGGAGGAGGAGTTTTCTCAGCTAAGAACACCCTCCTGCCTGCATACCAGGTAAATGCTACATGAATCATCTGCCCTTATCCAATATGGCCATGGCTAGAAATGCTGGGGGGGTGGTTTTCAAAGTGAGTTCTAAGCACAATAAAGCATGAAGGCATGGCTGGATGGGGGAGTTTGCTTTGAATATTAAAAATGCATTAAATAGTGACTTTGGTTTTACTTTTTGCTATAAAACATATCCAATAAAAAAGTAGAAAAAAAAAAGTCTTCATAAATGTAGCCCAAAATGTATTCTGCGCCATGTCTTTGGTAAAAAAAAAGTCCAAATAAGTGTATATTAATTGGTTTTATACTAGTAATGGCGGCGATCAGCGACTTATAGCAGTACTGCGGCGGGCATTTTGACACTAACTGACACTGGATGAGAACTGACAGCCATTGACATCTCCAGTGACACTAATACAGTGATCAGTGATCGGTGCTAATAAAAAGCGCTGACACTGTACTAACGACAACTGGCAGGAATGAGTTAACACCTGGGGTGATCAAAGGGTGATCAAAGGGTTAATTGTGTATTGCTTTGAGATTACTGTGTAGTTTTACTAGGGGATATGCTGCTTTCTATCCCTCTGCTTTGCAGAGAGATAGAAAGTAGCACATGCCCGCTGACAGGGAAGAGATCTGTGTTGTTTCCACACAGATCTCTCCCGTCAGCTGCTCTGCCGATCACCAAGTCCCGGCCATGATTTACTTGCCGAGACCAAGTGATTGACATTTCCAGTGAGCCAATGACAGCGCGGGTAGGTTAGCGCGTACACACTCCCTCCCCTACCTGGAAATGCAAAGTCACGTATATATATATATATGTGATTTTGCAGAGCGCGATCACCATGTAGCAATACATCTGCTATGGGGTGGTCAGCAAGTGGTACATTTGCAGGGATTTGCTCTCATTTCCTGTTTGGCTTGGGGACAGGAAGTGAAATGAAATCTCCACAATGAGGCACAGATGATGAAAAAAAAAACTGACAGGGGTTATAACCCTCCCTTATTCTATCCAAAATGAAAAAAAAAAAAGTTTGTCTATAGTTCAACTTTAAAGATTCACTTTATTTTTTTTATTTCTGCAATAGTTCTTGAAATGTTACACCACCAACCCAGTTATAAAAACAGAGAAGGTAAGAAGTATATTTTCACCTTCAACTTACTCTTTTCATATGCTGGAGCAAAACTTGGTACATCAGGGTACAGGAGTGAACATGACTCTCTCCCATTCCTCCCCATAATGCAGTGCTTAGGCCACCACCAGTCAGTCAGCAGGTGCTGTCAGAGGGGCAGGAAGGACAGTCCTTAGCCATGTGTGAGTTGTGGCCCAGCATCCAGTCGATACTCACACAGCAATTTGCAGGGGTGGCAGGGGGAGCACATGAAAGAAATATCTCTGTTACCCTCTGAACTAAATCTGTCACTTGACCCTGTCTGGGCAAGGAACAGGTTTGCTTTAATACTACTGAATGCTGCTAAGCCCTGTGCCATGTCTACGGCACCTTTTCCTTCAGCTACACTATATGGCCAAAAGTAGGTGAGCACTCCTCCAAATTTTGAGATCAAGTATTTTTAGTGAAGGGTTCTGTTAATGATAGAGCATACAAAAACAATTTACACATCTGTGTGTCCAACCTTGTGGAAACAGTTTGAGGAAGGCCCTCTTTTGTTCTATCATGACTTTGCCCCTGTGCACAAAGCCAGCTCCATAAAGTCTTGTGTCAAGGAACTTAACTAGCCTGCACAGAACCCTAAAATTATCCCAACTGAACACCTTTGGGATGAACTGGAACACTAATTGTGAGCCATGTCTTCTCATCAAACATCTAAAGAGTCAGGAACTGATGTTGGATAAGTAGATCTGACTTTCATTTGGGATGAACTGGAACACTGATTGTGAGCCATGTCTTCTCATCCAACATCTAAAGAGTCAAGAACTGATGTTGGATAAGTAGATCTGGCTTTCATTTGGGATGAACTGGAACACTGATTGTGAGCCATGTCTTCTCATCCAACATCTAAAGAGTCAAGAACTGATGTTGGATAAGTAGATCTGGCTTTCATTTGGGATGAACTGGAACACTGATTGTGAGCCATGTCTTCCCATCCAACATCTAAAGAGTCAGGAACTGATGTTGGATGAGCAAATCTGGCTTTCATTTGGGATGAACTGGAACACTGATTGTGAGTTGTCTTCTCATCCAACATCTAAAGAGTCAGGAACTGATGTTGGATGAGAAGATTTGGCTTTCATTTGGGATGAACTGGAACACTGATTGTGAGCCATGTCTTCTCATCCAACATCTAAAGAGTCATCCCAAAGGGTTCAATTGATTTGAGGACTAGCCCCAACCCTACTGAACATTTTTGGGTTGAACTGGAACATAAGCCAGGTCTTCTCATCCAACATCAGTACTTCACCTCACAGAAAAGTTTTGTTGGCTGATGGGCACAAATTTCAAGAGACATGCTTAAACATTTTGAGCAAAGCATTTCTAGAACAGTATAGGCTATTACAGCCACACAGGAAGTGGGCAACTCCAATTGAATGCCCATAATTCTGGAGTGAGATGTCCAACAAGCTCATATAGGTGTGATGGTCGGGTGTCAGCAAACTTTTTGCCATATAGTGCATATACCTTAAGGAAACAGTGTTGGAATGAACATTTTTGTGCTTGAGTTCTGGAGACCTAGCTTTAATAGGCAGCTAAGGAGGCATGATGGAAGATAAGAACCTCATCATACCCTAGAGGGTGCCACATGGGGCAAAATTCTCTCCTTGCCTCATGGAAAGCAAGGCCCCGTATGAGGTACAGGAATTCACACACATATAGATACAACATTCTAGCCACTCTCTAGCAAGAAACATGAGCACATTACCTTCAGAGGTCTGCAGCACCAGGGTCTTGCTATACTGACTGACACCGGCTTTGTTGAAGGCCTTGACTCGGGCATTGTAAGTGCTGTTAAAGTGAAGGCCATCCACTGTACACATTGTCTCCTTTCCAACAAAGACCTCCTATAAATATAAAAACATTTATAAGTACCTGTGGAGCTTCTCAGAGATAGACAAACTTTTTTTCCGAGGCTTCAGAATTCATGTGGATAAATACAGCACCTATGTTCTCTTTGTAGACTATTGCCATGCTTTTGAATGCAAAACACCATTGGGTAATAGAAGCCAAAATGTAACAGCGGAATTAACACCGGACCCCAGAAAATGCCATGTGTGTTATATTGTAGATAGCATCGCCCTCGTCTCCCACAGGCTCTTGTGTTCATGCTGCTTGCAGCCTCCTGTCAGTTGTGGCCTAATTGTTGGCACACATATTTATTGAGACATGACTCTGCTGCTGGGGACAAGGTTTATGTACTTCGGTTCAGGGATTTACTGCCCCTGGACACTGCAGGATGGAAAGTGAGCTATAGACATGGGAAATGCTGACTCAATCAGTCACCACTTAACCATTAAGGGAATAAATCAATGACAATTCCAGACAATGCATGATGGTAAAACTGGTCTGAGAGGAATGACCTGACTGCAGCTTTTTAGCCAAAGTCTAGTTTCAGCCAAAAAAAAACAAAACAAAACAGTCATTGTGAAGTACATGCACAAGATAAGAGCATGTGTGTTAATATACTGGATATATATACTGTATACATTTACTGTATTGGATACAGGCACCAATCAGGTTTTGCGGAAGCCATTTGTGGGTATCAAGTGGAGGGTGGAGTTTTATGACGGATTATATTGAAAGAATGCAGTGGGAAGATTAAAATGTTACTAAACCCCGGACCCTGCATTCACTATATCCGGTCTCCCCGGACCCTGCATTCACTATATCTGGTCTCCCCCGGACCCTGCATTCACTATATCCGGTCTCCCCGGACCCTGCATTCACTATATCCATTCTCCCCAGACCCTGCATTCACTATATCTGGTCTCCCCGGACCCTGCATTCACTATATCCGGTCTCCCCGGACCCTGCATTCACTATATCCGGTCTCCCTGGACCCCGCATTCACTATATCTGGTCTCCCAGGACTCTGCATTCACTATATCTGGTCTCCCCGGACCCTGCATTCACTATATCCGGTCTCCGTGGACCCTGCATTCACTATATCCGGTCTCCCCGGAACCCTGCATTCACTATATTCGCTCTCCTCGGACCCCGCATTCACTATATCCGGTCTCCCCGGACCCTGCATTCACTATATCCGGTCTCCCCGGACCCTGCATTCACTATATCCGGTCTCCCCGGACCCTGCATTCACTATATCTGGTCTCCCCGGACCCTGCATTCACTATATCTGGTCTCCCCGGACCCTGCATTCACTATATCTGGTCTCCCCAGACCCTGCATTCACTATATCTGGTCTCCCCAGACCCTGCATTCACTATATCCGGTCTCATCGGACCCTGCATTCACTATATCTGGTCTCCCCGGACCCTGCATTCACTATATCTGGTCTCCCCGGACCCTGCATTCACTATATCTGGTCTCCCCGGACCCCGCATTCACTATATCCGGTCTCCCCGGACCCTGCATTCACTATATCCGGTCTCCCTGGACCCCGCATTCACTATATCTGGTCTCCCAGGACTCTGCATTCACTATATCTGGTCTCCCCGGACCCTGCATTCACTATATCCGGTCTCCGTGGACCCTGCATTCACTATATCCGGTCTCCCCGGACCCTGCATTCACTATATTCGCTCTCCTCGGACCCCGCATTCACTATATCCGGTCTCCCCGGACCCTGCATTCACTATATCTGGTCTCCCCGGACCCTGCATTCACTATATCCGGTCTCCCCGGACCCTGCATTCTATATCCGGTCTCCCCGGACCCTGCATTCACTATATCTGGTCTCCCCGGACCCTGCATTCACTATATCTGGTCTCCCCAGACCCTGCATTCACTATATCTGGTCTCCCCAGACCCTGCATTCACTATATCCGGTCTCCCCGGACCCTGCATTCACTATATCTGGTCTCCCCGGACCCTGCATTCACTATATCTGGTCTCCCCGGACCCTGCATTCACTATATCTGGTCTCCCCAGACCCTGCATTCACTATATCCGGTCTCCCCATACAGTGAGTATAACAAGCATGCTTTACTGCATATACAGACTGATTTTACTGTTGTGGGTTTAGTAACATTTTAACATACACTATCTCACAGAAGTGAGTCCACCCCTCACATTTTTGTAAATATTTGATTCTATCTTTTCATGTGACAACACTGAAGAAATGACACTTTGCTACAATGTGACGTAGTTAGTGTACAGTTTGTATAACATGTAAATTTGCTGTCCCCTCAAAAATAACTCAACACACAGCCATTAATGTCTAAACCGCTGGCAACAAAAGTGGGTACACCCCTAAGTGACAATGTCCAAATTGGGCCCAAAGTGTCAATATTTTGGGTGGCCACCATTATTTTTCAGCACTGCCTTAACCCTCTCGGGCGTGGAGTTCACCAGAGCTTCACAGGTTGCCACTGGAGTCCTCTTCCACTCCTCCATGACAACATCACAGAGCTGGTGGATGTTAGAGACCTTGCGCTCCTCCGCCTTTCGTTTGAGGATGCCCCACAGATGCTCAATAGGGTTTAGGTCTGGAGACATGCTTGGCCAGTCCATCACCTTTACCCTCAGCTTCTTTAGCAAGGCATAGGAACCATGTTAAATGGACTGTAGTGCATTTCTGCAAAAAGCACTAAACAACGCATTGGTGTGAACGGAGCCTCAATATATGGAGAAAAACAGTATGAAGACACATCATCTGAGTTTCCAAAGGTCTTGTGAATTCCCTCTGAGCCACTCCCGCATTTCCTTCTACACCCCCCCCACAACATATTTGACTTCCAATAATTGTTTATGCAACATAAAAGTCCAGTTACTTTGTGAAAGCAGCAAATTTTACTTCACATATCAGCCATGTCAGAAAAAGCATATTTCTTACCCTGAACTGTCCACCATTGCCATCATCCAGTTCCAGTATGTATCCCTCTGCCTGGACCATGGACATGGGTGGCTGCTTCCAGGACAAAGTGGCACTGTTATTGTGGGTGCAGCATTCTTCCAGCTGGAGCATGGGGGGTGCCGGTACTAAAGAGGGCACTGAAAAACATGTAGGGTAAAGCAAGGGTTATTAAAAATTACATTTATCTTATTTATTTATTACAGGTACTTTAATTTACAGAGTGCTTTACATATTTATTGTACATTCACATCAGTCCCCAACTCACATTCATACATACACATACTAGGGCCAATTTAGATTGGACCCATTTAGACTACCAGCATGTTTTTGGAGTGTGGGAGGAAATCGGAGCACCCGGAGAAAACCCACACAGGCACAGGGAGAACATGCAAACTTCAGGAAGGTGGTGCCGGAAATGCAGTTCTTTTCTATCTGATCAATTTCCGATTTGGCTTGCTTTTGTCTACAAACAATACTCAATCTTAGTTGAGATTCTGGCTTTTGAATTAAGCACAGTCAGGCTTTTTTACCATTGTGGTCTGTATACAACAGTAGTCCCTAAACTGTTTGCTTGCCCTTATCCTTGGGGCACTATTCCTCCCACTGATACAAAGCACTATTTCTCCCTCTGACACCAACAATGGAGCACTATTCCTCCCACCGACACCAATAATGGAGCACTATTTCTCCTATTGACACCAATGATAGGGCACTCTTCCTTGAGCTGACACCAATGATGGAGCGCTATTTCTTGCACCGACACCAATGATGAAGTACTATTCCTCCTATTGACACCAATGATGGGGTACTACTCCTCCCAGTGACACCAATGATGGAGCACTATTCCTCCCACTTACACCAATGATGGGGCCCTATTCCTTGCACTGACACCAATCCTGGGGCACTATTCCTCTCACTGACATCAATGATGGGGTACTATTTCTCCCACTGACACCAATGATGGGGCACTATTCCACCCACTGACACCAATGATGGGGTACTATTCCACCACTGACACCAATGATGGGGCACTATTCCTCCCACTGACACCAATGATGGGGCACTATTTCTCCCACTGACACCAATGATGGGGCACTATTCCACCCACTGATACCAATGATGGGGCACTATTCCACCCACTGACATCAATGATGAGGCACTATTCCTCCCACTGACACCAATGATGGGGCACTATTCCTCCCACTGATACCAATGATGGGGCACTATTTCTCCCACTGACACCAATGATGGGGCACTATTCCACCCACTGATACCAATGATGGGGCACTATTCCACCCACTGACATCAATGATGAGGCACTATTCCACCCACTGACACCAATGATGGGGCACTATTCCACCCACCGACACCAATGATGGGGCACTATTCCACCCATTGACATCAATGATGAGGCACTATTCCACCCACTGACAGCAAAGATGGGGCATGATTCCACCTACTGACACCAATGATGGGGTACTATACCTCCCAAACTTTTGATCATATAATGAATCTCTTGATTTTACCATTTTAATATGACCCCCATGGATATATTTATGTATTATTTGTTTAATTTCTAAAGCTTTAAAGTTTACTATAAGACAATAACATATTAATATCATTTTACAATGAGATAAAAAAAATAAAAAAAAAAAAAAACAAACCTAGTTTCCCTTCAATGCTACAATAATCCTCTGATGATATACGATTGATGTAACGGGCTCGGCATAGACACACCAATTACTGTGATAACGCAGCAGAAGGAGATGAGATGACTTATGTGTGACACTGCAGAATCTGGTCCAGGCCTCATCCATGACAAGAGAACATTTCTGCTAAGGCGCCATGTCGTTTTGTCTAAGTCCCAATCTACATCTACTCAAGGCTGGCATCTTCCACAAGTTCCAGCTGAGAATCCCCCCCCCCCTGCTCATTATTCATGCTGGATGTATTGTATACATGGACAACAAATACCTTTTAAACAGTCCCTGTCAATTTGTCAATGTAGCCCCCTCCTAGACAGGCTGCTAGCTAGCGAAGTACATTCAGCTCTTTAGTTTCTACTGTAATCTGTTGAGCAGCTTGTGATTATTTTGGGTTGTTCTGTGCCTCGCTAGTTGCAGGTTTGACCAGGGGTGGACTGACCATTTGGAAACTCGGGCACTGCCCGAGGGCCCGGAGTCAGTAGGGGCCCCATGAGATGCCCCTGGTACCTTTTTCATAGGCTTTTTTGAGTTTGGACAAGGACACAGGGGCCCCATGATCCCCTATTGCCCAGGGGCCCCATGAGTTGTCAGTCTGCCCCTGGGTTTGACTGCTTCCCCCTGCCTTCTGGAAGGTTCTGGAATGTAGTGGGTTGGGAGAGTCAAATAAGCAGCCTGAATATTTATATGATCCAAGCCTGTTCCGGGGGGAGGGTGCCCAGTAGGTGACTGGGAGTAGGGCCGAGGATAAGGGGGTACCACCAGTCCTCTTGTACGGAGCCCAGACAAGCAGGGGGGCCCAGGCAGCTGGGTGAATCAGATGTGGGCAGGGAGGGTGATCAGCATGGCAGGGGCGGACTGACAACTCATGGGGCCCCCGGGCAATAGGGGATCATGGGGCCCCTGAATCCTTGCCCAAACTCAAAAAAGCCTATGAAAAAGGTAACAGGGGCATCTCATGGGGCCCCCTACTGACTCCGGGCCCTTGGGCAGTGCCCGAGTTTCCAAATGGTCAGTCCACCCTGGGCAGGGGGGGCAATTACTGGTGCAATTACTATATTTTTTCCATTCTTCATGGGGATCCTGGACATGACCAGTGTAGACCTGATCCAGTTTTCCCTGTACCCCCCCCCCCGACACACCCCCAAATCAACTCTGCAGCAACAGATCTCTTCTGATATCAATCTGCCAGCAATACATCACTATCTATAGATACAACAGTGATCTATTGCTGCAGAGGTAGGCAGGAAAGAGCAGCATTAGCTCTAGCCTAGCCCTGGAGCTGACAGAACGCCAGGCGATGGCACACATAACTTCCTAAGTAGACAACGTGGAAGCATTGTGTCCCCAATTCTTGCTACCAGTGGTCCAATGTAGAGGTCTGTAGCAGGGATTGGAAGCCCAGCTGCTGTTTATTCCAGCCCCTGGGTTTAGTACTGAATCCTGGCTGCCAGTTTGATATGTGTTTTTATTTATATAGAGAAAAATATAATTTGAATAATTTGTAATATATCTAATCTTTTCATTATTTTTTTGTGTGGTGGACTATTACTCTAATTCACAAAAAATAATACATAAGGGGGGATATGATCTCCATGTATAATACATAAGGGGGGGATATGATCTCCATGTATAATACATAAGGGGGGATATGATCTCCATGTATAATACATAAGGGGGGATATGATCTCCATGTATAATACATAAGGGGGGGATATGATCTCCATGTATAATACATAAGGGGGATATGATCACCATGTATAATACATAAGGGGGGATATGATCTCCATGTATAATACATAAGGGGGGATATGATCTCCATGTATAAATACATCAGTGATTCATATAGTGAACTCGGTGTAGAGTTATTCACCCTGAGGTCATCACAGAGGACAAGGGGGCACTCTTTACGTCTGGAGGAAAAGAAATTTAATCTCCAAATATGGAAAGGTTTCTTCACAGTAAGAGCTGTGAAAATGTGGAATAAACTCCCTCAAGAGTTGGTTGTGGCCAGCTCAGTGGATTGCTTTAAAAAAGTCCTGGAGTCTTTCTTGGATACACAGAATATAACTGGATACTAACATTTATAGGTAAAGTTGATCCAGGGAATATCTGATTGCCTCTCGGGGGATCAGGAAGGATTTTTTTCCCCTGCAGGAGAAAATTGGATCATGCTTTGCTGTTTTTTTTGCCTTCCTCTGGATCAACTGTGGGTATATGTCAGGGCAGGGCTGTGGAACGGACAGGTAGGCCTAGTGGCAGGGTAACGCACTGACTGACAACAACCACCACCAACAGACAAAAGTCCCTCAGGGCGCGGAGTCTAAGTCCCAGGCTGCCCTTCACCAGGGCCCCTGATGGTGGGGATGGACATGACGCAGCCAGGAACCAGGGCCCCGAGACACCCCGGCTGCGGTAATGGCCGCCACCAATGGCGTGTAGCTGGTAGGAATGACAATAGCGTAGTCAGGCAGGCCGGGTCAACAACAACGGGACAAAACGGTACAGAACAGTAGACAAGAATCACAGGTCACGGGCCGGGTTCAGCAACGGAAGGTCAGATCAAAGGAAAACACAGAGAATGGTCTAGTCACAAGCCGAGTCAGATACCAGAAGAGTCACGAGAGTATACACAGCGCTGTAGCGACACAAGTGCAAAGAGCATGTGCGGATCACAGGCTTATATGTACTCAGCACACACCCCTCTGGGGGATGGACCTCAGAGTCCTGAAGGCATAAAAGACTCCCACCATGCTCTGCAGTAACCCAAGATGGACGCCAGTACATGAAGCCGCACAGTCTCTGGGAAAAGATAGGACCTTGACAGTTTAGGATTATAACTTTTTTTCTTTTTTCTATGGCTGAGCTGGATGGACATTTGCCTTTTTTCAGCCAGACTAACTATGTAACAAGGCACCAAAAGTATCAATTTTACACAGTGAATTGGCTCACCATCCTTTCACCCCAAAGAGGCCCAAACCGGGGACCCACCAAGGAGCTGCCCAAAACACCCCCCAGAGGCAGGTGTGGGGATACACAAATAGGCCAGACTGCCAGTTGCAGTTCATCCTATTTGTACACTTGATAATCAGTGGGGTTAGTTTATCTATCAGGGTTTTCAGGATGATTTTTTCAGCCAGACTAACTATGTAACTATGTAACATAGAAGTGTGGGAGAATTATATGGTAGAAAGGACTAACCCAGCCCTATACTGATAAATCAACATCCTAATCTAGTATATGTAGCATCAAAAAAGAAAGAAAAGTGAAGGTTGTTCAAGGATCGCCCATCAATTTTGATACTGGTGGGCCATCCTTCAACAACCGTCACTTTACTTTTTTTTCTTGATGCTATGGACTATTACGCTAAACACTTTCACCAACAATCTACAGTTTATGGTAACCACAGGGCGCAGAACAACAGAGCACAACAGTACTGGCACATTCCTCCTACTCTACATCTGATTTGCCAGACGTTTCACTATGTATACAAGGATCTAGAGTATGGTGTGATCATATATTGGGAAAAGGCTGGTGATAGGAAACATCTTTGTGTTGCATTTAACATGATATTGTTAACCACTTCAAGTCCGGACACTCTCACCCTCTTCCTGTCCAGACCAATTTTAAGCTTTCGGTGCTATCACACTTTGAATGCCAATTGCACAGTCATACAACACTGTACCCATATGAATTTTTTAGCATTTTTTTGAGACAGATAAAGTTTTATTTTGGTGGTATTTATTCACCACTGGGATTTGTATTTTTTTTACTATGTAAATGAAAAGTCCCAAAATTTTGAAAAAAAAGTGTTTTTCTTATACAATTTTGCAAATAATATTTCATCATAAATCTTGGCCAAAATGTATTACGTTATCTTTTTAGTAAAAAAAATAAAATAACCCAAATTAGTTTAAATTATAATTTTTAAATATTTGTTTTATCTTTATTTATTTTTATTATTTATTTATTTTTTTTTACATACTGTCACCCTAGCAGTACAGTGTCACCATGGTGATGCTGTACTACTTGTGGGGGGCGATGAAGATTTTTTTTTTTTGTTACACTGATTGCGTTTACACTCATAAAGGCTGTAAAAGCAATCATTTCTACTTCTCTCTGGCTGCATTCCTGCAGCCATTGAGAACTACTGTGTGAGCTGTGATTGGTCACAGCTTTCACATGGTACAAGGCTGTTGTGAATAGCCTTGTACCATGTGACCTCTGTGATTATTCACAGATTTCACACGTAGTAAGCAATAATGTCAGAAGTGACATCTTGCTTACTACTCTGCATGTGATCACTGATTGGCCAATCAGTGATCACATGATCGGGACCTCGCACAGAGGTCCCGTACGACGATCGTGGTTTCCACTGTGTCCGGAGGACACAGAGGGCACTGATCGCGGTGCTGTGCGCTCCCAGGGAGCGCGCACAAGCAGGGGGCGGGGAGGTCGTTTATAAATGGCCACCCGACCCTGCACTGCCACTGTCCGGCCGTTTATATACAACGACTGGACGGGAGATGGTTAAAGAATGTATAGAATCACCTTTCATCTGTACAAAGTCCAGTTGGTGGATGGACTGTAAGAGAGGTCCGTTGTCCAGGTTCAAATCAAAATCGGTTGTCATTCGTGGTGTAAGGGTCCCCTTTCCCCACTGGTCTTCTGTCAGGTGCACTCTCCGAATCAGGGCATCGGATATCTAATGAAACAAAGAAAAGTCCTTCAGTATTCTATATATTCACCTTATTTAGGAGGGGGCCCTGGGGTAACGTCTATCACTTCATCACAGTTGGATAACAGGTAATAAATCTCCAGTCCTGGGCTCAGTGTATTAATGTCACATTAGGCAAGTTATAGATTATGCAATTTTCTTTCCTTCCATCACGGGTGGAGGGAAAGAAAATGGATCAATTTCCCCATCAACACAGGCAGTGTTGTTGGGGGAATCCCTCCCGCAGCACTTTTGTGTTCACCTGGCAGGGAGCCTTCCTTAAAGCCGCCAGCATTGATTACACGAAAAAAAAATCCAACAGGCTGGTTGTACTGAAATCGATCGATTGATTTTCATTTCGGCCAACAGGCCGAAAGGGGTGTTTTCGGCTGAAACGTTTCGGCCACCGAAATTTCGGTGCATCCCAACAAGCCAATATGATATACCTTCCTATTCATTTATTAATGCTAGCAGTATAAAGATTAAATATAGTCGATGTTGATTGAGAGAGAGAAGTTCCACATTAAACAGAGAATATGTACAGCATGGCAAAGTGACTTCGACATAGACTTATGCAGGCCATAGATGGGTCGAAAACCGGACGTTTTTTTTTTTTAAAAAGAAAAATTGGTCGTTCAATCGGCCGACGTTACCGCCAACGGAAAAAAAACGGCTGATTTTCGTCCCATCTATGGCCGGCATTTTTACTTCTGTCCCTTGTGGAGAGCTCCGCTATTATATTTTACATGAAAAAGTCTTGCGGTTGCAACAATTTATCCATTTCGGATACAGATGGTTTTATTCGGATACAAATAGATACATTGTTGCAACCGCAATACTTTTCATATAAAATATAATAGCGGACTGGAATTCTTCTTCTTTTTCTTCTCTTCTTCTTCTTTTTCTTCTTCTTCTGCTTTTTCTTCTTCTTTTTCTTCTTCTTCTTCTCTTCTTCTTCTTCTTTTTCTCTTCTTCTTCTTTTTCTTCTTCTTGCAGGTCACGGCTCATGCGCAGATTTTTTATCAGTAAAACAATCGGCCGATTTGCCCATCATTGCCGGGAAAATTGGCGGCAAATTTTCCAACGTGACCGATAAAAAAAAAATGTACCAAAACCCCAAAAAACGTCCGACCAATTAACCCACTAACGGTGCGAAAATCGGCCAATTTTTTTAACGGCCGATTTTTGACCTGTCTATGGCCTGCATAAGCCTCGGTTCACACTATGAACCGCAATTCCTGTTCAATTCACATGCGATTCATTGCGGTGTGATTCGAGCCATTCATTTTGAATGGCTCAAACTGCATCGCATCTGCACCAAAGTCGCGCCTGCAGCAATACTGGGAATGCAGTGTAGCCGGATCGCATGATCTTTTGTACCATGTGATTCAGTGCAGGCAAACTGCGTTTGTGACCTCCGTTTGGGGTGTCGTTATGATTTCACTGACACCCGCTGCAGATCGCAAGGGCGATGTGTTTTAAACACAGTGTGAGAAACGTTACCTACACCCCGTCCTGGTGTGAATTGGCTTTAAAACCGTCTTATGGTCAGAACATTTTACTTTTCTCATTCCCGACTTTCTATGGATGTACAATTTGATAAAATCTATTGGCACACACAAATTATTTTGTACACACATGAGGGAGGAACCTGACTATCTTCTCAATCTGACCCACTCCGGGTTTTTTTTTTTCCCTTTATTTAGCACGTAGCACTGAGGTAACATTCAATAACACGTAATCAAAAGGCCGGCTCACCTGAAGAAAACCGCTGGGGTCGTTCTCTTTAATGACCTCCAGACAATATTCCATCAGTCCGGTCGTCTGTCGCAGTTTCACCGTGCAGTGAGAAATCTGATCTCGAACAACCTAAAATAGACAGCAAAAAATTAGATAAAAGCAAACTGCAAATCAACATCAGTAACCCCAATCTTGCAGGATGTAAATGGTGGACTTGCTCTTGTTACTAAAACTGGTCATACATTATACAATTTTCTTGAGAATTTTGCTTTAGATTTACCAAAAACCATATAACATGAGGTCAAACCTAAACAACACTTTCAATTGTATCCAATCAGGCGGGCCCTTGCACTACATAGTTGAAGGTAAACCTAAAGGAAATTGAGCAGAAAATTGTATAGTGTATGGCCAGCCTTACATTTTCCTAAACCAATGGCATGTGGCAGAGTCAACTAACTGAATGACCACTGAACCACTACACATGTATACAGCATGATTCACTGAACTGCTACTTTAAAGCGGAGTTCCACTCACCTTGTCAAAAAATAAAAGTCAGCAGCTACAAAACTGTAGCTGCTGACTTTTAAAAAGCAGCCACTTACCTGTCCCTCGGTCCCGGGGTGTGTCCCCCGCAGCCCGTTTCACCAGCCGTACTGTATTCCAGGAGGCCGGCATCTTCAGTGTGGGCACCCGGCTGTGATAGCTTGCGGCTTCACAGCCGGGTGCCCACTGAGCATGTGCGAGTAGTACTACGCTTCATGAATGGTCCTGTTGTCTTCTGGGACCTGTCATGTGTCCCAGAAGACTACGGGGAGGAAGGACACCTTCCACTTCTGATCGCCTAGGACAGCGGTTCTCAACCTGGGGGGTCGCGACCCCTTTGGGGGTCGAACGACCATTTCCCAGGGGTCGCCTAAGACCATCGGAAAACACATATTTCCGATGGTCTTAGGAACCGAGACACCGCTCCCGTCTCCGGCGATGTGTGGGCGGGATGATATGCTGCCCCTGTCACCGCCTCCTCGCCGCTGATTGGCCACCGGAACTGTAGCTCAGGAGAGGCACACAGGCGGCCAATCACCGGCGAGGAGGGTGAGCTTGGAGAGGAGGAGCCGAGTGGCAGCGCGCATAGATCAAAGAAGATCGAGGGAGCTGCAGGAACGAGTGAAGAGAGAGGCCAGAGAAGGAAGACAGCTGACAGGTAAGTGCAAATTTTGCTGCTGCAGCCAGGTATGCAGGCTGTAGATGGGGAGGGAGAGAGCGAGCCCAGGCTGGAGCAGGGGTCAGCAAGGTAAGTATCATTGGTGTCAGTGGGAGGAATAGTGCCCCATCATTTGTGTCACTAATACCAACGATGGGGCACTATTCCTCCCCCCACTGACACCAACGATGAGACACTATTCCTCCCCCCACTGACACCAACGATGAGACACTATTCCTCCCCTCACTGACACCAACGATGGGGCACTATTCCTCCCCCCACTGACACCAACGATGGGGCACTATTCCTCCCCCCACTGACACCAACGATGGGGCACTATTCCTCCCCCCACTGACACCAACGATGGGGCACTATTCCTCCCCCCACTGACACCAACGATGGGGCACTATTCCTCCCCCCACTGACACCAACGATGGGGCACTATTCCTCCCCCTGGCACCCACAATGGGGCACTATTCCTCCCACTGACACCCACAATGGGGCACTATTCCTCCCACTGACGCCAATGATGGGGCACTATTCCTCCCACTGATACCAATGATGGGGCACTATTCCTCCCACTGACGCCAATGATGGGGCACTATTCCTCACACTGACACCAATGATGGGGCACTATTCCTCCCACTGACACCAATGATGGGGCACTATTCCTCCCACTGATGCCAATGATGGGGCACTATTCCTCCACTGACGCCAATGATGGGGCACTATTCCTCCCACTGATGCCAATGATGGGACACTATTCCTCCCACTGACGCCAATGATGGGGCACTATTCCTCCCACTGATGCCAATGATGGGGCACTATTCCTCCCACTGATGCCAATGATGGGGCACTATTCCCCCCACTGATGCCAATGATGGGGCACTATTCCTCCCACTGATGCCAATGATGGGGCACTATTCCTCCCACTGACGCCAATGATGGGGCACTATTCCTCCCACTGATGCCAATGATGGGGCACTATTCCTCCCACTGACGCCAATGATGGGGCAATCCCACTGGGGCACTATTCCTCCCACTGACGCCAATGATGGGGCACTATTCCTCCCACTGACGCCAATGATTGGGCACTATTCCTCCCACTGACGCCAATGATGGGGCACTATTCCTCCCACTGACGCCAATGATGGGGCACTATTCTCCCACTGACACCAATGATGGGGCACTATTCCTCCCACTGACACCAATGATGGGGCACTATTCCTCCCACTGACACCAATGATGGGGCACTATTCCTCCCACTGACACCATGATGGGATGGGGCACTATTCCTCCCACTGACGCCAATGATGGGACACTATTCCTCCCACTGACACCAACGATGGGGCACTATTCCTCCCCCCACTGACACCAACGATGGGGCACTATTGCTCCCCCTGGCACCCACAATGGGGCACTATTCCTCCCACTGACACCCACAATGGGGCACTATTTCCTCCCACTGACGCCAATGATGGGGCACTATTCCTCCCACTGATGCCAATGATGGGACACTATTCCTCCCACTGATGCCAATGATGGGGCACTACTCCTCCCACTGACACCAATGATGGGGCACTATTCCTCCCACTGATGCCAATGATGGGGCACTATTCCTCCCACTGATGCCAATGATGGGGCACTATTCCTCCCACTGACGCCAATGATGGGGTACTATTCCTCCCACTGACGCCAATGATGGGGCACTATTCCTCCCACTGACGCCAATGATTGGGCACTATTCCTCCCACTGACGCCAATGATGGGGCACTATTCCTCACACTGACACCAATGATGGGACACTATTCCTCCCACTGACACCAATGATGGGGCACTATTCCTCTCACTGACACCAATGATGGGGACACTATTCCTCCCACTGACACCAATGATGGGGCACTATTCCTCCCACTGACACCAATGATTGGACACTATTCCTCCCACTGACACCAATGATGGGGCACTATTCCTCCCACTGTCACCAATGATGGGGCACTATTCCTCCCACTGACACCAACGATGGGGCACTATTCCTCCCACTGACACCAACGATGGGGAACTATTCCTCCCACTGATACCAACGATGGGGCACTATTCCTCCCACTGATACCAACGATGGGGCACTATTCATCCCACTGACATCAGTGATGGGGCGCTAGTCCTCCCACTGCAAAATTACAGTTATGAAGTAGCAACGAAAATAATTTTATGGTTGGGGGTCACCACAACATGAGGAACTGTATTAAGGGGTCGCGGCATTAGAAAGGTTGAGAACCACTGGCCTAGGAGATCGGACCAGAAGTGGCGCTACATAAACACTGTATAATAAATAAATAATTTGAGTTTTGCTTGTTGCACCCTGAATCCTCATGCACACTGGATGTTTTTTTATAGTGGCTGTTTTTGGCTTTTGACAGTTTTTGATTTTTTTTTCTACAGTTAGTAAACCCCCCAGCATGTTATCCTATGTGTCCATACACACATAGACTGTCATCAACGTTTTTTTGTGGCTGGAAAAAAAACCAGTACTAGTGGGTTTCTAGAGGAGTTTTTTAGCTGCAAAAAACACGCTGAAATACACGGTAAAACGCCACAAACCGGTGTTTTTGGACTATTTTTGAACCCCCCCCCCAATTTTTTTTCTGGTCACAAAAAACGCAAACGCAGAAAAACACTAATGCAAAAAACGCTAAAAAACGGATGATGTTTTTAATGTGACTTTACACAGCTAACATTACCAGCGTTATCAAAACACCCCGTGTGCATGGAGCCTTGCACCCTGATGGTCCTTGGTGTGTGCAAATCAGTCTCCGGGAGTGCACTACCAGCTGATGTGGATGGTCTACCCAACGACTTATTAACACAAACGCACGTTGACCTCCGTTTGTATAGGACAGGGGTAGGCAACCTGCGGCTCTCTAGCTGTTGTGGAACTACATGAGACATTGCAAAAATGACAATTACAGCTATGACTTGCAGAGGCATGATGGAACTTGTAGTCCTGGAACAGCTGGAGAGCTGCAGGTTGCCTACCCCTGGTATAGGAGATCAACTGGATTTGGTAAGAGGCTCTGTGACCTATGGTGGAGGGAGCACATGGAGAGCACTTACCTGCCAACCCTCTTTGCATGTATTGAGAAATTTGCGCGGACTTTACATATCACAATATTTAGATTTTTCTTGTTTTTATGCTCTGATGGTTTTTTGTTTGCACGTGCACTTTATTCACCGAGCAATCATTATTGTTAATAAAATTGTGGACATTTTTTTTTTCATTTATGATGATTTATTTGCACATGCACTTTATGTATCGAATATTTGCTATCGATGCTCACATTGAGGAAGCCCCCCTATATTTTTTAAGTATGTTTATTGGGTATTCAGAGTGCAGCACCCAAATTATTTGAATACACTGAGCACAGAAATATTTTTCTATGGAAAAACACAAGGTGCAGGTAGGATGTCCTCATGCACACGGGACGCTTTGATAACGCTGGTAACAATAGCTGTGTAAAGTCACGTTAAAAACTTGAGTTTTTCAGCTTTTTTTAGCGTTTTTGCATTAGCGTTTTTAGCGGGGTTCTGCATCGATTTGTGGCGTTTTTAGAGGTTTTTTAGTGTGCAAAAAAAATTCCAAAAACACCGGTTTGCGGCATTTTAACGCATTTTTCAGCGTTACAGCACTTTTACAGCTATAAACCTCTTCTAGAAGCTCACTAGTCCTGGGTTTTTTTTCCAGCCAAAAAACGTTGATTTCAATCTATGTGTGCATGGACACAGTGGTGTATTTAGGTTTTGTGCTGCCCTAGGCAATATGAAAATCGTCTGCCCCCACGGACACTGTCCAACACCCCCCCCCTTCCCCCTCCCACGGAGAAAGCCTGACATTGACCAACAACACCCCTGCCCCCCACCCAGGAGAGCC